TATTTGCACTCTCTAGCAGAAACCAAGTCTAGAAGGTATAGTAGCAGGGAGGGCAACAGTAGATACTAGAGATAGTAATAATAAGGGTAATATGGGTATGGGTAATAGAGAGAGGGATGGGAACAGGAAGAAAAAAAATTTTTTTTGTTTAATTGACAAAAAAATGAAAAGCTGGGGACCAGTTAAGGCGCTGGAAACTCTCACATGGCTGACCATGGTTTGAGTCCCGGATCTGGTAACCTGCTTTCTCACTTTTTCTCTCTGAGTGTGCATGTGTGTATGTGTGTGTGTGTCTGGTTAAATCAAAATAAATGATGAATAAATAAAATAAAATTAAGTAATTTAAAAGGGAAAACAATGACTCTTTAAAAATGAAAAGCTATTTTCTGATGATAACGTATATAGTAATGTCTTTGTCTTAACTGACGTGCATGGTATTTGTGCTGGAAGAAAGCAATGGTGTACACTATAAAGCTATATGTGATTAAATGCAAATTAAAATTAATTTTTTTAAAAAATTCATGCCAGGCCCATATGCCTGTGCATCCAAAATCCAAAGGAGAAAAAGGAGAAGGGACTGTAGCATGGCCATCCACTTTGTGGGGTAATTTCTTGTTTTCTGTCTCTCTGACAAACGCATGCACCCTATAGTGAAAAAAAACTCTCTAAAAAAAAGTTATTAACCTTCTAATGCCTACAAATACTGCTTCAGTAAGCTGAACCACAAACACACAGAAAAACAAAACTGCTAATCATATAAATCCAAATAAATACTAGAATAACATTTACAAACTAGAGATCTTAATAATTGACAAAACATTAAAAATAACTATGTAACAATGAGGTAGATTATGGCTAAGTAATTAGGTACAGGTAGCAGAAGAGGAGTCACTTTAAAAACTGAGAGGGGAAAAAAGGACTGTGAGGGGCCAGCAGGTGGCGTGCTGGTTAAAGGTGCTGGACTCCCATATGGCCAACCTCGGTTCAAGTCTTGGACCTGGTGGCTTGCTTTCTCACTTTTCCTCTCTCTCGCCCTCTGTCTCTCTTTGATCAAACTGAAACAATAAAAAAAGTAACAAACAAAATAATCCTTAAAAAAGAAAAAGACTGTGAATGGTAATTCAACCCACTTTTAATGGAAGTCACATTCTTCCCTGCACTATGTCCCTCCGGTCAAAACTAGCACTGTAGCCCTAAGACACAGAAAAAAATAACTGGAGTCAAAATGCAAGGCAAGGTAACACCTAAGTTTGAAATTTTAAATATTCAGCCTAATGGTTACTCTAAGCTGATAAGCCTGACTACACAGAAAATTGCTGCCTCAAAAGATAATCAAAGTCAAGAGGGCCACACTTAGGGGCAAAGAACAATCATAACCCTACCTAAACGATATAAAAATTAATCACTACCCACTACAATTAAATTAACCACTACTAGCCACAACTAGGACCAAAAGGGCACCCATACCACGACCCTAAATGACTTAAGAATTCTTGGGACTCATGAAGAAGGAAAAACTTCATGAGAAATAACCCATGTGAAGTAGGAAACAGAAACCCTTTGAATATAGTTAAGGTATAGGCCCAAGATGAATTCACAAAACAACTTTCAAGTTTTGGGATGAAGACACAATAGCTAAGCTATCACTGAACTGTTGCTCACAGAAACAGCTTACAGAAATGACTTAATGACTGACTTAAGACAGTTTTTCCTGGTCCCACCACAATCCAGGAAGAAAGTAATGGTCTTCACGGCCCAAAACTTTCAGGCAGTCTCCTGACTTTCATACCCATTCTAAAATTAGGAAGAATAACCCCACCATAAGGAAAACACATGCACCACCTGGCAAAAAAAAAAAAAAAAACACAAACTAAGCTCCTCTGACCCAGATAAAAAGCCCTCACTCCAGTTCCTCATTGGCAATCCACTCAGGACCTGCTCTCTGCTTGGAAGCTCTACTTTACCTTTTCTCTTAATAAACTCCACTTGCTTACCTATGTCCCCGTCTCTAATTCTTCATGAGCTGTGGACAAGAACCTAGGTCTCACTAAGGATGCTGGGCCTAATCATCCCTGCACTCCCACATTTTCTACATCAACAGCATGTTAGTTTTCCTAGTATCCTGACTGGATGTGGAAACTCAAAGTAATAAATATTGTACCTTCTAAAGCAAAAACAACTGAGGTGAGAAACCAACCTCTGCTCATTTTATGAACAGGCAACTAAAGGAATGCTGTCAACCACCCACCTTCAAGAGAACAGGACAGAGGGTGCTGCTGCAAAGGAAACGGATCATCAGGTGGTAAGGAAAGTGACTCAGGATGACTGTCATGTCTGCAGGGTATCGCCCTCCTGCCTCTGCCTGGCACCCCAAGGAACAGAGGTGGGACTCTGATGCAATTCAGCACATGCTACCCAAAATATGTCACTTTGGCACTTGAGGAAACAGCAGGAGCAAGGTCTCTCTCACCTTCCCCTCAGCCCTTCTCCCCAGAGGCAGGCCATTCTATGGCCTGTGTTACCCTCCCCCGAAGGAGATCATGAGCCCCTCATTTCAGAAGGGTCCTGCCTTTTACCCAAAGGAAACAAATAAGAATCTGTAAAAAAACAGGCCTTAAGTTTCCCACACTTCATTGTCATTAAATCGTATCTCCCACTACCCACTGGCAAACGCACTGCTGCATTACTGTCCATTCTTCAAGATTAGCACAGAAATACAGTTTCCCTATTTCTTTGGGTAGTCCATTCCCTCGACAGGATGTGGCTATGTCACGATCTTCCTGCCTCAGCCCAAGTAGCTGAGAACACAGGTGCAGGTCACAGTGCCTGGCTCTTTTTCAGACCGGGTCTTACTATGCTACCCAGGACAACTTCAGGCTTGTGATCCTCTTGCTTCATCTTGAGTCAGTGTAATTACAGGTGCCCAACACCACACCCAACTTTTAGGGTGGACCAGAAATCTACCCAGGCCTTCCTTATAATCCAGCCTTCAAAGAATTTATCAACAGCACACTACCCCTAATGGACTGAGGTTCTCATTTCTGAAAATTCTAGTGTCATGTTAAATGTATGCACTTCTCTCTTGTTAAATCTGTCTTTCGTTATAGGAAGAGGTGGGGAAAAAAAGTATTACTGTTTTTCCCCTATCCCTCCAAGACTATGCCCAGAGAGAAGAGGGCCCATGGGGCATCTTGTGCTTATACGTGTGCCCCTGAGCTAGAAAGAGATTAGAGGAGCAGCCTTTACCCACTACTGGGCACAGCTGGGACCTGGAGCTTTCTGCAGTTCAGACACACCAGGAAATCTTCAAGTTCAGAGATACTAGGTCATCCCAGGAGATCCTGCTGGGGATCAAGCAGAAGACTTTCCTCCACATCTAGGAGCTATGCACTGTGTTGGCCCACAAGATCACTGATGAACTCACACACAAGCTCAATACATCCCTGAGGTATAGTTGCTGGAGAAAAAACAAATTTAAATAATTTCAAAATTTATACTCTACCAAATTCTAGTGCCTTAAAACTATTCATTAAGTCAAAATTTCGTAAGTTATAAGCATTTTTTTAACCAAACAAATCACAGTGGTAAAGTTTACAGGCAGTGAAAAATCAAAGCTTTCATTATAAATACCAAGTAATAAAGAATTTACTGTAATATTTACTTTCTTTCTCAAATGTCTTTGGAAAAATAAGAGCAGAGGAAGGGGAGAGGATGACTACTGATTTTAAAGTATGAACAAATTTTATAGAGAAATACCAGAAAATAGCTAGAATGTTGATTAGTTCATTTTTAAAGTTAATATTGCTAATTACATGATCTACTTGCTTTCTGTAATCAAGAGGAAATCTAAACTCTATTCAACAGCAAAATTGGAAGCTGGCAACTAGGATAGAATATCAAAGGCTAAAAAAATACCTTCAAATCTGTGTTCTTCACAAAAAGCCATAAACATTACAAAACTGACATTTCAAAAACTCACTGGAGGGAGTGCTGTGGATGGTACCTTTCAGTAATAAATGCAATGCAGGGGGCCAGCAGGAGGCCTGGTAGTTAAAGGCACTGGACTTCCATGTAGCCGACCATGGATCAACAAGTCCCAGACCTCGTGGCTTGCTTTCTCACTTTTCCTCTCTCTCTATCTCTGGTCAAATAAAAATAATCATGATAATAATAATAATAATAAATAAATAAAATGAAATAATTCTTAAAAGAAAAGAAATGCAATGCAGGAAAAAATTACCCAAGCTAGAAAAAAGGTTCTGAACAAAATATAAAACTTAAAAACCTAAGAAAGACCTAAGAATAAAATATAATAGGCCAACTGTAACAACTAGAAAACAGCTAAGAATTGTAGACCTTCCTATATATTTTAGAAAAAAAAATAATTGAGGTCCATAGGTTTCTACAGCCTGTGAAATGTCACAGGGCAAAGAGAAATGTGTGCTCAATATAAACAGTCTAGACACCCTCGGTTTAATATTAGTGGATTAGTACATGTTACATCAAAATGACTGTTTTCCTTAACATTTCCTCCAAATTCTCATTTCCTCACCTTTCCTCTTCTCTATCTGGAATGTTCTCTACCCCCATTAGTACCTTCTGAAATCCTACCAGTCAGTCCTTTAAGGGGTCATTCCAAAGGTAACTTCCTCTATCAGCTTTCCTCAATTATTCCAGCTAGTAGTAACATATTCTACAATCCTGTAGCAAACATGCTCTGCCATACTGAGAATCTGTTATTGGTACCAATTTTTCTTCTCTACTAAATTGCAAAGACCTTGATCACAATGACTGTATCAATCCTCCTTCTAGGCTCCATATACTAAACATCACATGCTGCACACAGGAAGCATCAATAATATATTTTTAAAAATAATAAAAAGGGAGAATTATTTCAGTTAGAAGTAACCATGATTTACTAAAATATCAATTGCATAAAATTAAATGTATACTCTAAAGTAGCAATATTAATAGAAAAAGATGTAATTTATATCACTGACCCTTGGTGGCCCAATAATCATGCCTGTCCACCTTGTAAGTGTCATATCTTCATCATCTTCAAGGCCCCAGCTAACCGTACCATCGCCTACTCCTTTTTGTCCTTCTTCAAGTTCTTCCAACAAGCGAAAATTACGAGGAACTTTAACTCCTATACAAAAGAATGTTAATGGAAATGTAAAAAGCTCATAATTTTAAGAGCTACACATATTTAAAATCAGCTTTTTTCCAAATGAACATTTACAAATTACTTCCCAAGACAAAATTCCCTTTAAAAAGCATCATGCCCCAGAAAATGGTTGAGACTAATAATCCCTTCAAAATGAAAATGCTGAAGAAATCACTGTACTAAACATTAACACTAACAGACATGTACATACAGTACTCAGTAATCAATTTTATCTTGACATAAATCAGTCAGAAGGAAGTCTTCACAAAGGGAACACTTTCCCTATTTGAGATTTCTGTCCTAGCCAAAGAATTTGCTTTAAATAAGTAGACATGGACTGGCTCTGTGGCCTAGTAGTTAAGGCAGCCAGATCCCACACAGCCAACCACGTGGTCTGAAACACTGCCTCAGTAGCTTGAGAGACATGCTCGACACATGCGCACGTGTACCCAATATCCCAAAATGAAAGAGATGGAGGAGATGGGACTGTGGTGTGACTATTTCCATGGAGAGTTCTTTCGCCTCTCCCTCTGCCTCTCTCTGGTGACTATCCAGCAAATAAATAAATCAACCAATAGGCATGATCAACCAGAAAGTTCATAAGAAGCTAAAGTTCATTATTACATACTCTAGTGATTACTAAAGAGTAGAATTATGTCCCCACTTAGAAAATACACCAGGGGCCGGCAGGTTGCATGGTGGTTAAACAGGCTAGACTCCCATATGGTTGACTGCAGTTCGAGTCCCGGACCTGGCAGCTTTCTTTCTCACTTTCCCTTCTCTGTCTCTGTCTCTCACTGACCAAATTTTTAAAATAACAAATGGAATTAAATAAGTAAATTTTTTTAAAACAGGGAAAAATACACCAAAAGGTGCTGTATCTCCTAGAACACTGACGTAGAACCTCCATAGTACCCAGTCTGCCTCATTCCTCTCTCATCCCTCAGTAACAGGGCCTACCTCTGCCACATCAGCACCATCACTTACCCATCACTTGGGAATTACTTAATTTGAGAACAGATCTCCCTATGTCTTTAACAGTTTCCTAGGATACCTGTTTCACCTCCTTGCCTGCCCTAACCCATTTTTGAATCCAACCAACCCTTCTCGTGCTTGCACTACATGGCATCATACCTGCTTCTCTTCCTCAGACCTCAGCACCCCTTACTTTACTTCTAAAACCTTAACGCAAATATTTCTGCCTTGAATCTCCTCGCTTTTCACAGTTCTCATCTTTAATTCTCACTGAACCAAGTCTCTGCTTTCATTCTGACCTCCAATTCCTGGATCCAACAACAAATCTTGCAGTTTACCCCACCTTTTCTAAAATGACCGCCCTGAGAAGAAAGTGCCTAATCTCCCAGCATTCAGCATCTAACATGAAACATACTCCAATCACATCACTAAAGTCCTGTTAAAAAAAAAACACGTAAATGCCTGCAGAATCCTCTATCTGGTACGTACATGCACGCGCGCTCTTGCTCTCTCTCTCTCACACACACACACACACAAATTAGAAGGCAGCAAGAAAAAAATGGCAATAGTAAACTGTCATTTTGTATAACTTTTCTCTTCTATTAAAATCAAAACATCTTTTTCTCATACTAAAGCATGCTAATCCTGGGAATAAAATGAAAAGCCTAAAGTACTGTAAAAAAATAAATTAATAAAAACAGGGGCCTGCAGATGGCAGAATGGTTACGATACTGGACTCCCATGTAGTTGATCGTGGTTTGAGTCCTGGACCTGGTGGCTTAAAAACTTACACTGGGTGCATGTGCGTGTGTGCCCAAAATCCCAAGAGGAAAACAGAGAAGGGGTTGCTGCATGGCCACCCCCCTCCCCCAGAGGGGGAGTGATTCTTGCCTTCTGTCTCTGTCTCTTCAGCAAGCGCACATGCCCTACAGCAAAAACCTCTCTCAAAAAAAAAAAAAGAAAAAAAAATGGAGGAGACTGGTTCAAGCCAGTGGCAGTGCCAGACACCTGGCTGCCTATGGCTGCAGGCCCTAACGGACCCATGCTCATCCTCCCACTTGCCTTTGGATTCTCAGAATCTCAGTGTTTTGAATAGTATGCGGTACAGAATTTTTTTCTTTTCTCTTGAGGTGAAGCTTATTAGGTCAGTTGGAGGCTCACCATTTCTTAGAAACAGGGTGGTCTTTGAGTCACCCAGAATCAGTGACAACAGTGCATAGTACTGGTGAGCAACAGGTAGGCAGACCAGAGAGATCACCAATTTTCTAATCCTGCACACCTTTTAACACTCAGAGATATCTTGAATAAGTTAGGAAGTATCCTATAGATTACAAGATGACTAGGAACAATCACAGACGCTCAAGTAATATGAGCAACCAACAAAAGGCCTCTCCCCCAAGGGAACTCGTCAAGCCCACATCACCCACAGTCAATACAATGGACATCGTGACCATGTCGGATAAGAAATTCGGAATATTTGCAGTGACCAAACTAACTAAGATGGAAGAGAAAAGAGACAATGAGCTCCAGGAGATGAGGAAGTCCTTTCATGATTTCAAAGAAGAAATAAACACCTTTTAAAAAGTACCAGATAGAACTTCTAGGGTTGAAGAATGAGATAAAAGAAATCAAAACTTCCCTCAAAAGTATTAAAAGTAAGATCTAGCAGAATACCGAATCTCGAATGTAGAAGACAAAACATCTGACCTAGAAAAAAGTACTAGGTAGATTGAGAAAACAACCAAGAAAAATGAGAATAATATACAAGGAATACTGGATACCATCAAGCACTCCAACATCCAGATAATTGGTATCCCAGAAAAGGAAGAAAATAATAAGGGCATTGAAAATTTATTCCATGAAATCCTGGAAGAAAACTTTCCAAACCCAGAAAAGCATTCAAATATCCAGACCCAAGAAATATATAGGACTCCAAATAGAATCAACCCAAGAAGATCCTCTCCAACACGTCTCCAAGGCACATCACAGCTAGACTGACCAAAAAAAAACAGACAAAGATAAGATACTAAAGTTGCAAGAGGGAAACATCAAGTTACTTACAAAGGTCACCCCATCAATCTAACATCGGACCTCAGGGCAGAAACAATGCAGGCAAGGTAAGAATGGGGAAATATAGTCAAAGTGTTGAATGAATGTAAACAATTGAAAACAATTTCAACCAAACCAAGAGTACTATACCTGGCAAGATAATCTTTTATATGGGGAAAAAAAGATAAAAAACATTCTCAGATAAACAAAATCTGAAGGAATTTACCAACTCCAGATCAGCTCTTCAAGAGGTTCTAAAGGGAGTGCTATACCGGGAAAACTAAAAAAGTCAGATGGACAGCTATAAGAGAACAAAAAGCAACCAAGAAATGGCTCACCTGGGACCAGCAGTTAGCGTAATGACTATGTCGCTGGACTCCCATGTAGTCGACCGCGGTTCGCGTCCTGGACCCGGTGGCTTAAGACTCACGCCAGGCGCGTGTGCGTGTGTGCCCAAGATCCTGAGAGGAGACTGGAGGAGAAGGGATTGCTGCGTGGCCATCCCCTCTGGGGGGTGATTTCTCGCTTTCTGTCTCTCTGTCTTTCTGTCTGGCGAACGCACGCGCCCTATAGCATAAAACCTCTCCAAATAAAAAATAAAAAATAAGAAGAAAAAAAGAAATGGCTCACTTAATGATAGGAATAGGTCAGGAAATATCAATAATAACACTGAATATCAATGGATTAAATTCTCCAATTAAGAGACTCATCTTAAGGATAAAGACATACATAGATTAAAAGTGAAGGGCTGGAAAAAGATATTCCACACAAATGGAAATCAAAAAAGGGCTGGAGTTGCAATACTGATTTCAGACAAAACAGGCTTCAAGTCAAAGACTGTAAAAAGAGACAAAGGAAAAACCAGCAGTTAGCGTAATGGCTATGTCACTGGACTCCCATGTAGTTCACCATGGTTCAAGTCCTGGATCCGGCAGCTCAAACTCACACCAGGCGTGTGTGCGTGCATGCCCGCATGCCCAAGATCCCGAGAGGAGAATGGAAGAGAAGGGACTGCAGCGTGGTCACTCCCCTGGGGGGGTGATTTCTCGCTTTCTGTCTGTCTCTCTGTCTTTCTGATGAGTACCACACCCTATAGCAGGAACCTCTCAAAAACAAAAAAAAAAAGAGGAGGAGACAAAGAAGGGCACTATATAACAGTAAATGAGGTAATCCAGCAAGAAGCCATAACACTTATAAATATCTATGCACCCAACTTAGGAGCACCTAAATATGTGAAGGAAAGACTGGTGGAGCTAAAAGGAGAGAGAGGGAGAAACACTGAAATTGTTGGGGATCTCACCCCATTATCTCCTTTAGACAGATCTTTTAGGCAAAAAGGAAATAGAGATACAGGACCTAAATGATACTATAAATGGAATGGGCTTGATAGATATCTACAGAACTTTCTACCCTAAGTCCACAAAACATACATTTTTTCTCATCCCGGCATGGAACCTTTACAACGATTGACCATATGTTAGGATGCAAATCAAGCCTTTACAGATTCGAAGGCATAGAAACTATATCCAGCATCTTCTCTGACCATGATGGGATTAAACTCAATATTAATTTCAGGAAAACGTCCTTGAAAATACACAAACACATGGAAACTGATGAGCCTACTTCTGAATGACTTAACTACTGAAGAAATTAAGTTTGAAATCAAAAAATTTATGGAAACAAATGATAAGGAGTACACAAGTTTCCATGATCTATAGGACACAGCAAAAGCAGTCCTAAGAGGGAAGTTCATAGCAATTAGTGTGCATAAGAAAAAGATGGAAAGGTGGCAAATAGATAACCTAACATCATGCCTCAGGGAATTAGAAAAACAACAACAACAACAAACTTAAAAAGTCAGGCAAAAAGAAATAATAAAGGTGCAAGCAGAAATAAATGAAATAGAAAATAAACAAACCGTAGAGAAAATAAACCACACAGAAAATAAATGAAAGCAA